CTATCTCAGCCCAGGAGGCCTGGTGCCTTCCTGCTTCTTAGCACAGGTTGTGTCTTGGAAGGTGAGAGGCTGGGGTGAGTACCCACAAACACATAGTTCTGCTTTTCTCAGCATAACTGGCAGAGTGTTTCTACTTCTCAACCTTGCATTTTCCTGGAGTCTGCAGGGTGCCGAAATAGCATAAACACCTTTGGGCTTTATCTCATCCTAAGCCAAAGTCCTTGTGAGTTATCAGGTTTCTGACAAAACTGCTGTTTCTCTGCTGGAACATTTGAGGACAGAGTGACTATCTCCTTCCCCACTTGACTGGGTCTGGAGTTCCAGGCATGGAGAGGGGTAAGTGAAGCAGACAGTGCAGGTGGGAGCGAGGTTTTGTATGAGTTTTACTTTCTTACTCAGAAAGTATTCAAATCCTGTACCTTAAACAGACAGGTGGACAGGGGAGAGAGGCAAAAACTAGGGAAGCAGCATTTCATCTGTGATGAGATTCATACTTAGCATCAGAATTGGAGTCAGATGAAAAGATGCTGGGTAGTGGCTTACCTCATGGGGACAGAAGAGTAGGAGCTAGCACACGCTGTTTAAAACACAGGCACAAATGAGACCTGGGTGGCAGAGGGATAAAAGAAACTGTTCCCTTCAACTTCAGGCCAAGAACAGAAGCCTCCTTCCTGATTCCCCTACTTCTCTTGTGTCTTAGTTACTTTTCTTGTTGCTGAGACAAAATACCTGACACCTGAAGTTAAAGGAAGAAAGGTATATTTGGCTTATAGTTCATAGAGGTTTCAGTTCGTAGTCAGCTGGCTCTAAGGCAGGCTGGCATGGCAGAGGGGCATCACACAGGAGAAACAGTCCGTAGGGCAGGCACAGTCTCCCCGCTGTGGAGATACCGCGTTCCAGCCTGGGCTGTGAGCACTGCTGCTGGATCCTGCTGTTCCTGCTGCTCAGCACCAAAAACCTTGTTACTGGCTGGATGTGGCAGTTCACAGTCCCTCCAGTGATGGCCACCATCTGGCTCAAGCTTCAGGTAGAGGTGAAACCTCTCCACTGGCCCACTTCTCACACCTGAAGAGTGACAGTAGTGCCAGATCACACAGAACAGCTTAAAACACACAAGGAAGCTCTTCCCCAATCAGCTGTAGGGCTAGAGGGAGTCTGTGGTCTAGGCTTCTTCCCAAGTGCTTGGCTCACTCTGATACACACAGGCAAACCCAAGCCCCATTCATGCCCCTCTCCATGGGTCTTTCCTGCTGACGTGGTGGCAAAGGGACTCTCCTTCCACTCAGGATGACGAAATGACAAGCCTTGGGTGGGCTTTCCACATGTCAAGAATCTCTGGAAAAAGAAGTCCCAGGCAGGACTGCTGTCCCCATATGCCAGTCCCCACCCTCTCAGGCCTCTGAAAGATGGACCTGACAGATTTCCAACATCCTGGTATACAGGGCTAATTCAGGGTATGGACTGAGGCAAAGGCCTGCTAGACAGGGGGTGACAAACA